ACGAACTTGTGGTCGGAGTGTAGCGAGTCCTGGTGCCACTAAAGAGGATGATGAAGCACGCTAAATCTGTCATAGCTCATTATCCTTTCGTTGATGTGGTGTCATAGTTAGAAGAGGACATCAGGTGGCGTCATTAGATTGAGGTTCTAAATTACAAAGTCAGTCGCCAATAGCCCTCGTGTTGCTGTATAGCGTGACATGCCACTGAAGACTCATCATGTAGAGAAGCTGATGCACGTTTAACCTGCCGTGGTTTAAAGTCTTCCCGTTGCAGTGGTTTGGTAGTTTGGAGAGGGGGTGCCGGCTCACTTGTAGTCTTTTTCACTTGACTGAAGCTCAAAGTAAGGAAATCTATCGCCAACAGTCGTCTTGTCAATTGTACAGTGCGACGTCAATAATACTCTAATTCTCACTCGCATACAGAATTATAACTTAATATGCTTTGATTAATCTTTTGCCTCATTGTATTCTATAACACTATGCAACAGTGGCGCACACAAGAGGGGGTCCGGACCCCCCCCCCCCAAAGCACTTGAGTTTTTTTTCGATTGATGACAATCTTATGTATACATAACGAAAAATTTAATTAAGTACTTCATTTATCTTTAACTGGTTTTTTTCTTCTGTTAACAAAATCGACAAAATCGGAAGAATTAATTGGTGTTGTCTTGAGGTATGATACGAGTTGGGGGACTTTCAGCCATGTACTCGCCCCCCCCCTTGAACATTTTTTGTGCGCTACAGCTATGCAATGTTAATGTTTTTTTAGAATAAAAATTTAAACTTTTTAGTTGTTTTGGCTATTAGGATATTAAAATGTAAATGTTTGCAAAATGAAGGAAGAAACAAAAGAAAAATGTTCGCTAAAAATGCTGAAAATTCTAAAACTGTCAGCAAACATGAATATTCATCGATCAGAGAGAAATTATCAATTATCCTTGATGGCTGAAACACCGAAAGAGACTTTACAAACAATCTTGGAAAAAGACACAATAAAAATTAAAAATATTATGCACGCATGTTAATTCGTGACCACCCAGTGAAAACAAAACTGGCAAACATAGATGACACTTGTAACCTTCGCTAAATTGATTAAACAACGTTAGTGCTTGAAAGATAATACAATTACACGCATGATAAATTACTCCAAATAAACTTTTTTTTTTACCAGGCATTCCCTTTCTTTTACGTATAGGAATCGGCCAACATCACTCAAACGCGGAAGCCGAGGAAACGTTCGAAATGAAAGATCTGAAGCAATTAGAATGAGAACAAATCCACTTTCGATCATTGAAGAAAACTTGGCTAAAGTTGCGCAATGCTAAACAAGTGGATGAATGCAGTGGTGAACGAAAAATAATTTCATGACCCATCATAAAATAGAAAAAAAGCGGCAAAAACCATGCACAATTGACGCTTTTCTTTTATCCTAAAAGAAACCACCAATAGGTGTTGGCGGCCTGTCGTAGGCAGTGAATACTCAGCAAGAATAATTTTAGACGTCAGAAAAGATTTTTTTTCATCCATAAAACTGCCAACACAGGTCGGCATAAAACCGTTCACTTCGCAGAAAGTTTCTGTTTGTTATTGTCTGGGATGCGCCTTGCCAGCGTGTCAGGAGCAAAAAGCAGATTCTTTAGACCCATATGGCAACAGATGGGGGTTTAAGCTTCCCAGAACAACCCGTGGTCTTTTTTTTTCTTTGCTCGCGCGCGTTGTCTGTGTTTCTCTCACGATTTTGCACGTGACTCCAAACCTGGATGTAAACAAAACTTTTCTTAGTAACGTTCATCTGCATGGACAAACACAAACTGCGTAAACATTATTTGCTATATTATAATTGCGGCGGTTGTATTCCTGTTTGGGTCCATGCTCAAAAGACCCAACACAGGAAATCACATAATACATATATTTTTTTTTTTAATAAAATACTGCCTGGAAAGTAGATTTTATCATCAGAATGGGAATTATGGGAAAAATTAAGGAAACTGAATTTGAACCAATGTTTAGCTCTAGCTATATGTTCCGAACAGTAGCGCAGAGGAACTTTTTGGGGTGGGGTGAGGGGTCGAAAATCCAGCATTTACGTATCATGCTCCAATACGCTTTACAACATATTCTTTTGACTTTTGTCCATTTTAGGGAACAGAAAAAAGTTAAAAACTAAATGAATAAATAATTAGCACTTATAAATAAAATTTTAAAAAATGCTGAATGACATTTTACGTACTATATACATCGAATTATAAACAATAGAAAAAAATCCGGGTTCGGACCACAGGGGCGGTCTGGGCCCGGGGACCACCCCCTACGTGCAACACTGATTTTGAAGGATCTCAAATACATACCGGGTGACCGAAAAGTATGACTACCCATTCAAATTGTAATTACAAATAAACCAAGTTATTCACTTATGGATTTTTACATTCCATAAAGAAAATACCAGTGTCTTAAAAATGTTTTACTGTACGATTTCGACGAGCGTATCAATAGTTGCCAGCAAAACATCGAGTCTATACGAGATTTCTGACCACGTTCCATGAAGCATTTGCAGGGTCAACATTCTAAATAGCGGCTGGAATTTTATTTCATCAGTGATACGAATTGGTGAAAACCATGTTCTTCATATATCCCAACAAGAAGTCCGAAGGTGTCGCCTTTCGTAGAGAGAACTTGATTTTATAAAAATTTGAGTATTATTTAAACTCTAGCAGGGTGAGTGTTAGAGTTAGTCGTTAGGGTGCTATTAAAGTGAGATCCTAAGTGACTATCGGAAGCCTTGATGCTCTACACCGTAATATCAAGTTGACCCGGAAGTGATCTGGCGAGAGCTGCGTCATCGGATCACTCAGTTCAATGCTTAACCCGTACTCGCGCAGGGTGTGTAATACCCACCATCTACCTTTTTTCAACGCTCCTCCTAAACCTTTTTTGGAAAATGGATAGTTTCTCGTGTAGCTGACTTTAAGGTCATGTCCTTTGAGGGACCTAGTTTGTGGAGGGACTCGAAATATATATTTTTGGATATCGCCTCTTCAGGTATGTCATACCCTGCGCATGAATCCCTATTACAGTTCTGAATGTTTGAGCACATTTTAAATCTTCCTTTTTCTATGGTGTATTATTGTATTTATGATGAAGAAATGTGATATTTAAGTAATTTAATAGATATAATAACAACAGTATTTTCGGATGAAGAAATTTTCTTGGCGGTTATGATGAGGAAAAATCAAATGATGAAAAGTATAACATCGAATAGGATTCCTCCACTGAAATCGATCCAGATTGAGAAAAGGTAGACACTGTTGGAAATAAATGTTTTATATGGAGACACACAAAAATTTGAGAAGAGCGTCATTTTAAAAGAGATAACTGGTACACATCTTATCCACTTTCAGATGAACTTTTGAAAAAAATACTATTGCAAGAACAAAATAAGAGAAAATAAAAAAGAAATTCCAGAATTTTTCAAGTTAAAGAATAGAGAAGTTTACTCTCATATGCTTAGTTTGAAAAAGATACAAATAAAAAAGAAAAATTAAGATCCAGTGAAAACATCGCACTCAATCACGACACGATTAAAGGAGAGTATAAACAATGCACTGATAATCCCTTATAAAAAGAACAAAAACTAAATTTACGTGTGAAAAATGTAATAAACATGTTGTGTGTTTCCTACTTTTCTTCCTTTTTAAACTTTGTTTGCAAATTTTATGGTAAAAACACAATGTAAACTCCCTTGGGTATGACACACCCTGCGCGAGAACTTTAGGTCGTTTTTTTCACGCGAGTGATGCCGGGTTAATTATTTGTTTTAGGATAAAAATTAAACTTGCCTGCTCCTCGGTTTATAACATTCTTTGATACTAAATTGATAGATCAATAAACTTAGTTATTCTTTATAACGATGGCTGTATTCATTCAAACTTCACTAGCAACCACAGGGTCGCCACAAATTGCTAAAGATTTTACGAGTTATGCCAATCTATTTTATTTTAAGAGAGCAAATGTCTATTAACATTGCACTATGAAGCAACACGAAGGCTATTGGACACGAACCTCGCAATTCTGAACCGCGGTCAAGTGAAGACGACGACACCTCCCTCTCCGAACTTCCACACCAACCCAACAGGAAGATTTTGGATGCCCAACAAATTTAACGTGCGTCTTCGGAGGTCATAACGGGGTCTTCAGACATAAAATTTCGAACAAACAGTGCACCACCTCGAAAGAAGATGTTTCCGACGGTGGCAAAGTAGTAAGGGAAAGCGAACTAAAACTCAAATGGAATACTTTGAATAAGATTCAAAATAATATGGTTTTATCTGATCATGAGTATTTTTCTTTTTTTATATTTTGAACACCTCATATTTCAACAAAACGTGCCATTCAATGTATTTAACAGCATTTTTTAAACCATAAAAACGACATATAAAATTCAAGCGAGCACAATTAATCTTTTAGTATAGCAGTGTAAATCAGAAGATTTGCATATAAGTATTCTATAGTTACTAAAAAGATTCATTACATTTTATATTGTTATGTTTGCACATAAGGAAATCTTAAATCACTCACGGTTTCTTGAAAGGTAACTGCAGCAATAACAATGGAAGAGAAACACTTACCTAGAAAATAAAAATAAAAAATCTATTAAAACACGGAAGGAATATTTGAAAAATAATGATCAAACTTAGAAAAGGTATTTCAAATATTAATATTTAAGATAAGTATAATATAAAATAGGTATAGGTTAAATTAACTGTAGGAATATTTATAACTACATACTCTAGCAAACTATCTTGACTCGAGGATATAGTTTATTAACGTCAAACTATAAAAGGAACACGAGGGCTGTTAGCAACGGACTTGGTAATTTTGAGCCTCAGCTACATGAAGAAGATGCCACCTGAGTTGACACCCCTCTCTCCCAACTACCACACCACACCGAGAGGAATTTGAGCCACGACAGATTTGACATGCATCAGTTCCTCTACACAGCGGGTCTTTAGTGGCACTAGACTCGAACTAATGACATGACGACCACGAGTCAGCAACCATTATCACTAGGCTACCAAGACTGGTACCTGGGTGTGGCTGAGGTAGAATAGTGGTCAAGGTAACGGACTCTTGGCCGACGTTTCATGAGATTGAGCCTAGTACCGCTGAAGACGCCATGTAGGGGAGGGGGGGATGCACGTTAAATATGTCGAGAGCTCAAACGTTCTCCCGTTGGCGTAATGTGGTAGTTAGGAGAGGATACCAGTTGAGGTGTCGTCCTGATCACTTGACCATGGTTCAAAATTAGGAAGTCCGTCGCCAAAAGCCCTCGAGTAGCTGAAGAGTGCAACGTTAATATTCATTTACTCCAAGTGAGTTTGTGTTCATTAATGTCTAACTATAAAGCAGGACGGGGTTTATTGGCGACAGACCTCGTCATTTTGAACCCTGGTCAAGTGACGAGGACGATACATGAGCTGCTTCCCCTCTTTGAACCTCCACAACGTGCTAACGTGAGGACTTTGAGCCTCCAAAGATTTAACGTACATCAACCTCTGTACAAGGCGGATTTTCAGAGGCACTAGGGCTCGAAATCATGGACACTAGTCCGTGACCCCTAGGCTACTACGGCCCCCAGATAGAGCGTGAATCTATCTGAATATATATTTACATATTTATCTATATTTACATCTAATCTATATATTTTACATCTCTATCATCCTCTCTTACCCGTCATGACTCGACAGAAACAACACATGTTATGAGTGTGCGACAAGCGTGTCCTCAGACTTGCAAGCGAAAATGAGTCAATAAAAATTGCACACATAGGTATGTGTATTCAGGCAGGAAAATAAAATGTATCTTTATATCAAAAACTAAAGATGAGTATTGACTGCCTATGGACCCTGTATTTGCACTAATATTACAGTCTAAATATTGGCAATGGATATACTTTTAAATTTAGAATGAATGACATCTAGTCAACGAAACTTCAAGAACTTAAACAAATCACCAGAAACTCACAAGCACTCCCGCATCATGTATTAAAAAATTAAAAACAGAAAGAAACAAAAAAAAAAAAAAAGAATTCATATTTTTTATATATTTTACATCTCTAATCAGAAGAAACAAATATATATAACCTCTTGAGTATTTTAGAACTCATTATTATTTTGAAATTTCTGCAGATAACGTGTTTGAGCAGCCGCTCTCGCAGAGTAAAATTTCGAGCAGAGAATTTCTCCCGTCTTAGAACGAAATCATTCAGTTAAGACTGCCCTAAAACTGTGAATTTTGCCAAAAATTGACAAATTTTTGTTATGATTTTATCTTATTAGCTTTATAAAAATACCAAGTTTATCATTTTCCGTTTACTAGAACAAAAACTACAAGTGTTTTAGTAATAGCAGATGCCATTACTTTAAGCAAGATGTCATACTTTAAAACGCGTTTTACTCGAAATGTGATTTTTTGAAACTAATCAAACGGGGTCAGCGATCTCTAAAAAAGTTTTGAACATAATTAACTGAAATTTTTTGTGCATGTCTGTATAATAGTGAAATTGTTTTAATCTTCAAATCAATCAATGTTTTATTACAAACAATGTGATTAAATTTACTTATGTAAATATAATCACTGTTTTTTTAAAGCAATTTCATATAATAACTGAGGTAAAGTGCTCTAGTTTTTGAAAAAAAAAATTTCTCTCATCCTGAAGGTCATTTCAAAATTGAATAATATAGCAACACATTAGATTGAAAAAAATTTAAAATTTGTTCATAAACCTTTGGCACAGAATAAACCGCGTTTATGCTAATTTTTTTATCAATTTTTCCCTATTTTTTCCCATTTTAGTAATAGTAATTTCTTTTTTTTTTCTTTTTTTCGTCTTAACTTTAGCATATTTTTCTTAAGATGCACTAAACAAATCTAAAAATAACAAAAAAGTCCCCATATCTCCTTTTTTTAAAAAAAAAAGTTGTCGCGACCGATCGGATACCTTAATAAGAAAAGAATGTAGTAATACATGTCCAGGTCTTCACATGAGTGGCTAAATATCTCCTATAACCAGGCACACTATTAATTACACAACCGAAACAGCCCGCTCACTTTACGACCGTGACACATTACGAGGGGTGGGGCGGCGTAAGTGTCACCTTTGCAATCTGACAGCGGAAGGGAGGCGCGCCGCTCAATGTTTTTAAATACTCCAATGCACTCGCACAGAAGCCGGCTTATCAATTCGGAAATCCGAAAGTTGAAATAAAGAGGAGGATTAAAAAAAGAAAGGGTACGGTTTCGGTCAATGCACAACAAAAGGCGGGAAGCTCACAGTTGCGATAGATCACCGTTGGATGTCTGTTCGTGAAAGTTCGCTCTTTACAATGAACAGAATCTTGTTAAATACCATTCTTCATTTCGGGCTTTAGGTGTTCGGATTTCCGTACAGTTTCCATTCATTGTTCCCTTCCGTTTGTTTCATATTAACTTTACCGTTAAAAATGTCACAGTTTCTCTTTTTTTTTAATCGTATATAGACATGTTCTTTTTTTTATTTTTATTGAGATACATACCAGCTGAAAAAGCGTTGTTTTGATGTATACAGTTATTGAAGGCTTATGGGGAAAATATAATTTATGCTATTGAATAAACAGGCAACGAGAGAATGGTAACAACCTTTTAAAAGATAGGAAACTAGGTAAGGATCCAATTTCTATGTTCAACAAAACACTTTAGAAGTGGATTTTAATTTGGTGAAATGAATGGAATATAACAGTGTGTATCATAAAATTGTAAGAGAAATCTATCTTTAGGATCCCACAATGACGCAAAGTTTTCAACATTTTTGAATATGGAATTAATTCAAAATATATTTAATCAAATATAAGATAGATTAAATCAGTTTTTTTATTAAATAATTCACAAAAGCACATAACACTTTAAATTTGATTTTTTTAAAGTATTGATGTTATTTTATTTTCATTTATCTAGAACTCTGAGGAAACACGAGAGCTGTTAACCGACCACGTAATTTTTAAACACAGTTAGATAACAAGGATGACACTTGAGCTGTGTGTGTGGTAGTCCATTCTTCAAACTTCTGCGTCACGCCAAAGTGTGAACTCTAAGCCTTGACTGATATAACGTGAATTAACCCCACGACACGGTATACAATGACCAAAAACTAAATAATTAAAATTTTCTTAAATAATCCCCAATCTAAAGTACCCCAAAAAAATCCCTTTTTCAAAAAAATTTTAAAAATTACGATTTTTAAAAAAGTGAAACAATAAAGAGATTTTAGTATAAAATCGAGAGAACGGATGGAAGCGTAAAAAAACGGTAGCAATAAATACATTCGGTACTATATTCCACGAATTGGTTCCTTGTTATAGAAATTTTTGACGAAATGTTTATTATTGGTTTATTTATGTTGTAAAGAACGAATAACATAGCATAAATAAAAGCACAGTTTATTAGAGCACATTTTTTTTAAAAATTAATCTATACGAGATGCCCTTTAAAATATTTTTTTTAAAAAAAATGAAGGATAAGCCGAGTGTGTGTAGCATATTGATATTTAAAACAGATTCTCCCCCTCCCTTAATTACATGAAGCAACCATAAAGGCTTTATTTCGAGAGAGAGAAAAGTGCTAAATAACTCATATAACCAAAACCATTCACTACACAAAACAAAACAAGAACAATTTACAATATAATTTATATGTATAGTTTCACAAAAATATTTTCTCCAAGGGCGATTTCTGCTCCCCTCCCCTTCCAAAGGCTTAAAAAGAAATACGACCCAAATCTTATTAATTAGACAGCTCAAGGCGGCAGCAACTCTTGCCTAAACCGATGCTCATTACAAATTATTTCCCTAATCTCAACAGAGAAGCACTCAATAAAAAGATACCAGCTACCGGGCAAGAGATAGCATTTTCAGTCGATAATGAACAAAAGGCAAGCGGAAAGATTCAGCCTTAACTGCCTATAACACTTCCATCTTAAATACTTCCCCCTTCAGATACATGTTTGTTCCTTGGGGACACACACAGACATATCCGAAGCAATTAATTAGCGATTGAAGGTAAAAAGAGAACCAAGCTTTGGGCGATTAAGAACAAAGGAGGAAAAATAGTTGGGGATAAAAATAAGGAAAAAGAGAAGCAATTATGAGCTTGAATCGACACTTTCCTACACGCGCTGGCGCAATGAAACCAGATTACAAGACCTGGAACTGATATGGGCACAAAGAGTTTTCCGAGAAAGGGTTAGAGAATCAAAACATCGCCCGGCGTGCTTTTTTTTTTTTTTTTTTTTTTTTGATGGAGATGTAATTCGAAACAGTTCTGTATCGCAAGAGGAAAGAAATTAATTCCATATGCTGGCGGTAGATCTACCATTATCTGACTGCGCAAGATCTGGGTCTAGATGCTGGGGAAAAAGCGCGCATATATCTATCTCTCCGGTATACACGACATACATACACAGTAACCTTTCACCACACCACTGAGGAAAGCATATTAACTCACTCACGATTGGCTTTCTAATTTTCACCGCAACAATCCCATTTCAATTACACAACTGGGAATGGAGTGTCCAATGTTAAAAGACTTGAATACTCTCAGCATTGTGATAGTAGTGGTTATTATGTGATGTATAACTAATATGTTTCTACAGAGAGATGGTTCAAAATGTTGTGCTACGAAACGAGAAATTGTAAATGGAATTTTTTAAAATTGAAGTAAAAACGAGGGAAAGCAGCTGAGTGTAGATAGCGATCTACCATACGTAACATAAGACAATTTTCAGACAGAGAGCGGACAAGTGTTTCATATAACTTTATAATGAAGAAAATATAATACAACACATGCAGCTTTTTTAAGAAATATATACTTGAAAGACAAAAGCATGCACTTTTGAAAAATAAACCAATAGTAGAATATTTTTAAATATTTAACAATCTACATGTTCATTTCAAATTATGTGTTTACATTAATTTGGTTTTAAATATGTGAATGAATAACACGCGATACATTTTATAATAATATTTTTACAACAATTTCACAAATTTCG